TGCAAAGTTTTGAATAGATTGAAGTTTCTTTATATTAGTGCATGTTGTATTTGACCATACAGTGGAACAGTAGAGCAGTTTACTGATCACTAATGAAGTGATTATCATTGTAAGTGTTCCCTTGTCAAAATTATTTTTAACTCTGTTTATCTGGCATTGTTTATAAAGGCAGGACGACACTAGATTCGATATGTGCTTATCGTAACTTAGGTGACTGTCCATTAGAAGTCCTAGATCTTTGGCAAAATCAACAGGTTCTAGAATCTTCCCCATAAAAGAGATCGAAATATTGACATCAAGTTCGTTCAGCAGCTGCCTGGTTCCAATGATCATGAATTTTGTTTTATCTGGATTCACCAAAAGATTGTTTTCACAGCACCAAGACGCAATTTTATGTAGGTCTTCTTCCAGATTTTTAATTCCAGTGTCAGCTTCCGTTAAAGGAAACGATAACAAAGTTTTCGTATCATCAACGTATGATTCAAGATCACCATTGTAAGATGCACAGGGTAGGTCGTTAAGGTATATACAAAAGAGCAATGGCGATAAAATGGCCCCTTGAGGTACACCATAAGTTATCGGTAATGGATCTGATAACGTAGAGTTAATACGGGTTGATTGGAAACGGTCTGTTAAGTAGCTTCTGAACCAGTTTACTGTTGATTTGGATGCTCCAACATTTGATAGTTTATGAAGTAGTCTCTGATGGTTTATACTGTCAAATGCTTTTGAGAGATCAAGCAACACTAGAGCTGAGAGTTTCTTTTTATCCATGGCCTTTAAGATGGTGTCAGTGATAAAAACGTTTAATGTCTCTGTCGAGTGAAGTTTTTTATTTCCACTTTGGTGGGAGGATAGTCGGTTGTTGCTTGTTAGGTAACAGCTAAATTGCTCAAGAGCTAATCTTTCACAGATTTTAGATGCGACTACAAGAAGGGAAACTGGTCGATTATTTGAGGGTACCTCGTGGTCACCTTCTTTATGAATAGGAATAAGTTCTGCCTTTTTCCATGCCAGAGGAAAAGTAGAAGTACGAAGGGAACAATTTATAATTTCCGTTAAAGGACCCAAAATGACCGGAAGACAGTCCTTTATGATCCGTGGGTCAATCTTATCCGGACCAGATGATTTATTGAGAGGTAACGATAAAACTACTCGACGCACTTCGTGGCAAGTTACGGCTCTAAACTTAAATTGGTCGATTTCAGTTATAACGACTGATTCGATTGATTCTCGTAGATTGATGTTGTTAGTATCTGCTAGATGAGAAGACGCCCTTGCTGCATTTTCACCAACCGATGAAAAAAACTGATTGATATCATTTGCAAGAGATTTATGGTCTCCTTTATAGATTTGTCTTTCTTTTCCTTTTGATGGTATAAGACGGTTTACTATTTTCCATAGAGACCCCGGTTTATCTTTATGTTGCCGTACTTCATTAGAGTTATACTCATTCTCCGCCTTCTTAAGATCTCTCTTCACATTATTCCGGTAGCTCTTATAATTGACCCAGTCTATAATATCCCGCGTACGTAGAAATCGTTGATGTAATCGATCTCTCTCTTTCATAAGGTTTCTGAGGTCTTGGGTAATAAATGGGCATGGTCGGTTACGGATCTTAATTGTTTTAATTGGAGCATGAACGTCTAGTGTAGACTGGATCGCATGGTTAAGAATGTTTAGTTTAGCATTTACATCGTCGCCGTCAAAAATAGATAGGAGACAATCTGATTTGTCCGCAAGATCAGCTGCAAAATAATTCGGTACATAATTTTTAAAGCTACGTGCTGTAATGTATTGCGAAAGTTGCTTAGGAGACTTAATCTTAAGTTCAGCGTACACAAGTAGATGGTCACTGATTGATGTAAGCAATACTCCACTTCGGTACACTATTGACTTCGACGACACTAGGATAACATCTAGCAATGATTGAGTTGCATCAGTGATCCTCGTTGGCGATTTAATAAGTTGAGTGAGGTTCATTTCATTTAAAAATCTATCCATAATTTTATATTCTACACAATTATCCTTTAATCCATCACAATTTAGATCACCTAGGATCACGATTGGTTTGTTTAATAGAAGAGCTTCCATGTAATTTGGTTTTAATGTATGTTCAAAGCAGTGCAGAGGACAGTCAGGTGGTCGGTAGGCTACACAAATTATGAGCGACTTAGATTTCTGGCACTGGACATTTATCCATAGTTGATGGAAATTTTCTTCGGAAATGAAAGTTAAGGATTTTAAAACAGATGATTTAAGTTCTTTGCGAACGTACGTGCATACACCACCGCCGCGTTTATTAAGACGATCCAATCTGAAAAGATTATATCCGTCTATCCTTACTTCGGCAGACGAAACACTAGTGTTAAGCCATGTTTCAGATATTGTTAAAATGTCAAAATTTTTTCTACGCGCCAAATCTCTGAGTTGGGTAAGATGTGTATTGCTTTTAAGTGAATAATTCAACAAGGCGTTTTTAGTTTCTTGATAACTTTTTACGTTCTGAAAATATTTGCTGTTTTAAAACATGCAAATAGCTTGTGATGTCATCTACTCGTGCATAAAATTTACTAATTAGATTTTACAAAACGAGAAATTTCATTGAAACTAATGAGCAGAAATTATTATAAATTTTTTTTTTTTTCATTTTAGTAAGTTCATTTTGAACGCGTGAGTAGATGACATCACAGCTCAGCTTTAATTTGCATGTTTTAAAAGATGAATATCTCGAGAACAAGACAAGTAATCGAGACACTGAATACGTCTTGATGGTTTATTACTCGCTACTCTGGTTTCATAAAAATGAATGCAGAGCTCCCTCGAGGTGCATTCACGACCAAAAGTTTCGACACTCCAGTCTAGGGTCAATTAGGGGTGATCTAAAATCACAAGGCGGCTCCTTATATACTCTAGCGGTGACGTCATTTACCAAATGGCAAATGTTGTTGTCAAATAACGTCACCACCTTGGTAGACGTATATAGAGTATTTAGAGACGTATATAGAGTAATATATAAAGTATTTATCGTTGAAAAGGATGTTTATAAAAGGGTGTTTGTAGTAAACCCTAATGTTTAACAACACTATTTATTAGCGTTTGAATGAATAACTATAAAGCCCCGCACAGACGAGCAATTTTTCCTTGACAAATTTCTTGACAAGTTTATTTTCTCGTGTGTACGGCAAACAATAATTCCTGGTTGGCCGTACACACGAATTGTTTTCCTGGTTCAAAAGCTGGCATGATAAGCTGATCATGCCAGCTTTTGAACCAGTTCCTTGTCAAGGAAAACTTGTCAATTTTTTGTCGTACACACGAACAAATAAAACTTGTCAAGAAAAAATTGTCAAGGAAAAATTGCTCGTCTGTGCGGGGCTTAACTGTTTGGGCCAGAACATAGACAACATATTAATACGAACACTCCAGTGACCTGCATGTCAAACCCTCTAAAGCAATTTAACGCCACTCAGCGTTATTTTTAAAATTTCTTTCAAACATTCTGCTGAACATGCAATTTTCTGAAAACACACGCATGCAAAACAAGTACTTTTCAAAGTTGCTACTCATTGTTAAGGATATAAAACTGTGGAGCTATTTCCGTAAATCTCCTCAATCCAATTGCTTTAGCGCTCGCTTCTCTTTTAAATTATTCCTGCACAAAACCTACACTCACGAGCGGGGATAAATTGTTGCCACCATGCAATTAAGGGGAAATGGCAACAAAAATTTAATTCGTCTCATTTGAAAGAGATTCAAAAACAATATATAAAATTCTATTACAAAATTTTTTATACCTGTTTTACTTCGAGAGACCTAAATCAACGAGCTATCCGCCATCTTGGATTTATTTTTAACCTCATTAACTATGTTTTGGTAACGCCACAACAGGGATAAGTCATTCAAAGCTACTCCTAAATACCTACCAACAATCAAATATTGTTTGAAACTTTTTCAGTCCGTGTTGAAATCCGAAACACTTACTGTACGTGCGGTTATGGCGCATATTAATCATTGTTTCGTAAGAAAGACGTATCATGCATATCCACAAATATCCAAGATGGCGGACTACCTAATATTTCTACTGAACAAAATGTCACGAAATAAAGCAGATGTAAAATTCTGTAAAAGCTTCTATATATTGTTTGGGAATCTCTTTCAAATTAGACGATAAAAATTTTTGTTCCCATTTCCCTTTAACACCATACTTTGTTTATATTTAGCTCAAGATTAAGTGTCTGTGTTTATATTTGTCATGGTGAAAAATACCACTATATAATACTGTTCTTTTTACCAAAGTTAATCCGTTTATTTCGAATTCAAATCAGCGCGTTAATTCAAACAACGTTTTGTATTCAGTTTCAAACAATTAAATCTCAGCATGAAGATTTCAATTCTATGCTCCCTTTCTGCCCGTAAAAGGTCGATGAAAATAACATGGATCGGAGAATATGTTACATGTGACGAACACTGATCTAATAGTAGACTGGATAGAGCTTTCTTACCTATCAAAAATGAAGCCAGAATTAATTAACTTCCGGGGACCAAATTCAAAAGAATTAATACATCACGCGAACCCCAGGAATGTCTTTTTTGCATAACTATGTATTCCAATGGTTAGAACTTCAGTCTTTGTTGGATTCTATATCAATTTTAATTCCGTAAATCAATAAGGACGCCCATGAGTTTGTTTTTATGTCTTTTGGAGTCCCCGGAAGTTAATTAATTCTGGCTTCATTTTTGATAGGTAAGAAAGCTCTATCCAGTCTACTATTAGATCAGTGGTTACGAAATATGCATGACCGTGGCTATAAATAATATTTGTTCATCATGGAGGCGTCATGAGAATCTATAGGAAATCCCGGAGTTTATACACTATGCGTGACTGATGTGAGTTTTATTATGGTGTTATCTACTCAAGTGTAGAATGTATAGTGATGTTACTCTGAGTGTATATCCAAATCAAGCAGGTTGATTAATTTGCCTGACCACGGTGGGATTCAGAGGAGGAGTGGTCACTATGCCGTGATGCATTGCGATTATTCCTCTTAATTATATATTATTGATTTTCCACGAGCGGGCGGTTATTGTTCACTTGACCTTCACTATCCAAACAACAGGAGTGAGAAATATGGCGGATTTTGTAAAGCCGATTCACCGCCATAAAGCTTCAGTTTTGGAAGGACACGGTCTTATTTTTGTTCATTGTGTATCGTCAGAGCCTATGCTGTTGGTTCCTATGGGTTATCGTGTGTTCAGTTTCAATGCCGTGAGATTCACATCAGAAGAATCGCTATATTTGTCTCTAAAAGTTGATGAAATCTTCGCCGATTGCAATAGCCCAGCATTGATAGAGTATAGAGATACATTCCAGTTGTGTTTTTAGGGTAAGTCGTTTGTTTTAATCCTTAAAGCCAATACAAAGCCAATGTATCTACGCAATGCTTTTTCTATGATTCACATTTTTGTAACCAATATTGGTAACAATATTTGTGCTTTCTATTTTGAATATAGATAGATAGATATTTATTAATATATGAATATGAATATATGCATATAGAGCTAAAAAATAGTTTAAGTTAGAGAAGCCAAGACTGTTCATTTGGTTTGATCATAGAGGTTTGATTACTTTGGTATTTTATACGTACTATTAAAGTAATTAACCCATTGAATTGCATCGACTTGCATTAATTGTGCCCTGATGCACCCTACTTTATTATTTTACTCTAACGCCAGATTATTTTACTCTGTCTAATGGCAGCTGGCATATCTGCCCATGTGCCTAGTTAACCCATTGAGTCACATTGTGCCCTCATGCACCCTACTTTAATATTTTACTCTGTCTAACGCTGGCACTTAAGGGTTAAACAGAAGATTGTTTTTATATATTGCAGTTCTCTGACCTCAGTGATCTAAGACGAGATGGAACAGGACAATCTTTTATCTTTGGGAATGTTATTTTGTGGGATTTCGATATTCTGCCATTGCCACCTTCTCAAACAATTCAACCTCGAGGTCCAGATACTGTTAATGAAGATTTGGACAGTGTGCTGACACTAATAAATTTACAAGGGCAAACTGGATATAACTGTGATCTACAACCAATAAATTCTGTGTGCTTGGTGGGTACTATTACTCTACAGTGCAGCATTGCTTATTGCGAAAAGTGGACCATGGGACAGAGATGATCCAAGAAACAATTATAACAGTGACATAGATTACTAGAATATTGTAAATTGATGTTTGTGATGTTATTCTGAGTGTGCATCCACACCGGGCAAGCTGAAAAGTTTGCCTGACCATGGTGGGAATCGAACCTGCCATCTTTGGGATATTAGTCCAATGCTCTACCAACTGAGCTCAGCTCGGTGTGGATGCATTCTCAGAGTAACATCACAAACATATTCACCTGAGTAAATAACACCAACACACACAAGAAGTATATTGTAAATTGTTGTTATTTTATTATGGATTCCTACATATTTATTTTATTATGGATCCCTACAATTGGGTCATTCCAGAAAACATCCATACTGCCCCCACAGAGGAAATAGGAAGTTAACCCCACTACCCCCTTCGGATGTCCTAATACATTTACTATTATCAGAAACAATTTTTTCTCCCCTCCCCCTCCGGACGGCAGAAATTTCCTCTGTGGGGGGAGTATGGATCTTTTCTGGAACGACCCATTATAACAGTGACATAGATTACTAGGCTAATGCGGTAAATTGTTGTTATTTTATTTTGTTATGGACAAAATTTCTCCAGATCCATGGATCTTTTTTGGCAATAGATATCAACTTGATCAAAGCTTTATTTTCCTCAAAGGTCCATTTATGTTTTTTTCACTGGTGACTTCTTAGGAAACTACAAAAAAATATGTCATTTACTAAAATGGAAATTGGGGCGCAGATGACATATGAATAATCATACATGAATAATGTTACACTGCAGAATGTTACACAGAGGTATTAAAGTAGAGTAATACAGACAACAAAATTGCTGCAATTTGCAACAAAATCTGATTTCAACGGATGTTAAGTGGAGATGTTGACACATAACTAATAATACAAGTCGATCCTAGAAATGTTGACACATGTTGCCTCGTACATGCGTTGAAATCAGATTTTGTTGCAAGTTGCAGCAATTTTGTTGCTCGTATTTACTCCAGCTTTACAATGAATATACAAAGACAATTTATAAGAATAAAATAGCAAAGAATAACAGTACATTTATAAGTACAGTTTCGTCTACCATATTTTTTTTATTATACCTTTGCTGATGTGCCAGTACTTCGAAACAAAGCTCGATTGAATGGGGTGAATGATGAACTTTCCACACGAGATATTTTCCTGGCGTATCAGTATTAAATTTGAGTTTCCTCATTTTCTAAATCATGATCAACAATGACAACATCGCCATCATTAATAGATTCCATTTTTTGCTCCAATAAACTCGAATAAGTCTAATTCTATAAAAACAAATGATACAATCAGGAACAATACGTTTATAGAAAAGCTGGCTTGTTTACGTTGCATTCGCGCCATATTTCCTGTAGAATTCCTCTTTTCCCGCGATTGGTGACAACAAAAGCAAAAATACCCCATTTTCAAACAACGATTACTCGTCGGTTTCAGGGGGTTATTTATGTTTTAAGGTACCAATAGAAAGAGTAACCCTTACTGAATACAATGATGTGAATTTTATTGAATTTCCCGATTTATAAACCTAATAACCCCCTGCGTATATCAAGGCCGTTTTCGTGTCATGGCACTATACCCGGAATATACACCATTTTCAAACCGCGATAACTCGTCGGTTGGAGGAGATTATTAATGTTTTAAAGCATCAGCTAGAACCGTGACCCTCCCCGAATTCAATGATGTGAATTTTGCTGAATTTCCCGATTTATAAACTATTTAACCCCCGGCGTATATCAATGCCATTTCTTTTATAGCCCCGAAATATACCCCATTTTCAAACCGCGATAACTCGTCAGTTCGAGGGGGTTATTTGTGTTTTGAAGTATCAATAGAAAGAATAACCCTTTCTGAATTCGATGCTGTAAATTTTGTTGAATTTCCTGATTTAAAAAGTATTTAACCCCCGGCGAGTATCGGAGGCACTTTTGTAACATGTGCACTGACCCGAAACCAAGGGTAATTCAATGCGTGATTAACATCACTGAAGCATGATACGACAACCACATAAAACAAAAATTGTGCAATTAAGGTCACAAATAAAACAATTATAAAAACGTACCTTCCAAAAATCAAAATTTTCAGAGTGAAAATTCGCGATAGAAAACCACAATTTTTCGACAAACATCTCTCAAAGACTCGCAAAGTTCAATTTCGAATATTAATGAGAAGCAATGCATTGTGGTATAGTGACCACTCCTCCTCTGGGGGAAATCGGTGAAGGCTATTTCAGATAGGTGATCGCTAGATAGTATACTTCAAAATAAGGTTTCCGTTTTTATAACGTAGAAAAAACTATCCTAACGCAAAACTAAGCCCTAACCCTAATACTAACCCTCACCCTAACCCCAACCTAACCCTAACCTAACCCTAACCTAAACCCTAACATAACCCTAACTTATTTTAATTATTTTAAAAATTGATATAAAAACGGAAACCTTATTTTGAAGTATACTATCTAGCAATTGCC